TTAAATGTATTTTTGATCAAATAAATCAAATAAATGCAGCCCTGCTGAGCATGAGACTTTTTTCAAAAACATTTTAAAAAATCTTACAGACGCCAATAATAGACAATAGATTACTAAAATATGATAAAAAAATATATTATGTATGCAAATGTATAAATGTCTTTAAATGCAAGATATTTAAAGTGTACCTGAAGTATACTTGCAATAGTTCCACTTTAGCACAATCAAATATACTTCAGTATATCTTTAGTGTGACTTCAGCACTACTTTCTCACAATTAAAATGCATTATGTACAGACTTTAAGTATACCAGTTTAGTATACTAAAAGTACACTTGCAGTGTATTGTATTAAGCACATAAATATGAAAATGTATTTGTTAATGTATTTGTTTGCATTCCAGTTGCAAGAAAGATTAAAGATTAAATAACAGATGCTTCAGCAAATTTTCATCCTTTACTCACCTTCATGTTGTTCTGAAGCTGAATGCATTTCTTTATTCTGTTAAACACAAACAAATGAAAGTCAATAGAGTCCAATATCTCTGTTTCTGCAGAAGAAAGCAGGTCATTAAGGTTTGGAATAACATGAAGGTGAGTACATGATGACAGTTTTTAGTTTTGGGTGTACGATCCTTTAATAAAAGACTAATAATGCTCTGGAGATTATATTGAATGAAAACACAGAATAAATAAAATGAACTGAGCTGAAAAATAAATAAAACTGCTTTAGTTGAAACTCAAGGTTTAATTATAGCTTGTTTCATAATTTGAGAATATTGCCACATGAACGCTATTTTTTTTTTTTGTTCATTACTTTAAAGTTGCTTTGAAACATCTATATCATCTGTATTGTACAAAGTGTTATATAAATGTGTCCCTGGAGCACAAAACCAGTCATAAGTACTGTATATATTTGTAATAGCCAAAAATGCAAATAGTCAAAATTATCAATTTTTCTTTTATGCCAAAAATCATTAGGATATTAAGTAAAGATCATGTTCCATGAAAATATTTTGTAAATTTCCTACCGTAAATATATCAAAACTTAATTTTTGATTAGTAATATGCATTGCTAAGAACTTAATTTGAACAACTTTAAAGATGATTTTCTCAATATTTAGATTTTTTTGCACCCTCAGATTCCAGATTTTCAAATATTGTTCTATCCTAACAAACCATACATCAATGGAAAGCTTATTTATTCGGATGATCAATTAAAAAAAATGTACCTTTATGACTGGTTTTGTGCTCCAGGGTCACAAAAGTAATTTGACTTAAATTCCATTAATAAAAAAGAAGAAATTTCAACATGAAATGTACATCTCAGATGATTAAAAGCTCACCGAAAGAGCTCATGAAACAAGCAAAGACGGCCGAATCCAGGTCACGTATTTCTGGACCTGCATGACTTTAATTGAAATGAATATGAATCAAACCCACAAACAATACATTTCTTTCAGACAGTGAACAGAAACACACCCTCTACATTTTCAGTTTTTATTTTTATTTTATTTTATTCTATTTTAAGTCCATTCCTTTTAACCACATATTTAGCAGTCAACATCAAAGTAGCCCAATTCTTAAAAAGTAACAGCATAGAAATGTCCATTTCTGATTGGATGTAAAACAGACATAAACCTCTTTTGTTTAGCTTACAGAGGCAGTGCATGTTGAAGGACGAGTGTGTGTGTGTGAGTGTGTGTGTGTGTGTTTGTGTGTGAGTGTGTGTGTGAGTGTGTGTGAGAGTGTG